ATAAATAGACACACTCCTCATCACCCTTATCTCCACTACCCTCTTCCAAATCTTTGTAGTGTGGCTTAATAGCTTGATACCCCTATAGTTATTATAATTTTGAATATCACCCTTGTTATGATAGAACAAAATCATTGTACTTCATATCTATTTCTCGTGCATTTTTGCAGTCCTAAAAATGACATTAAACAACCTCATAAGCCACTCCAAACTGCTCTTACCCGCGCTCTTTCACAATTTCACAGGTGTCTCGTCAGGCCCGGTCGCTCTTCCCCTGATCATCTTACGTATAACCCCCTCAACCTCCACTACCTTAACACACCTACAATATCCATAATTGCGACTTTGAGCATGTAACTTTTGCCTTATTTAAAGTTTCTCATAGGAATAACTTTAATTAGTAATTTAGTTGTCTTTGATTTTATAGGATTTTTCAGACAACAACAACAACAATGACCCAATGAAATCCCACTGGTGAGGTCTAGGGAGGGTAGTATATAGGAAGACCTTACCCCAACCCCGAGGGGTAGAGAGGTTATTTCCGAAAGACCCTCGGCTCAAGAAGATGAAAAGAGGCAATATATCAGTATCATAAAAAAACATAGAAGAAAATAGCAGCATCACAAGAACCAGATAGCTCTGCCCCTACTCATCTTACGCATAGCCTCCATAACCTCCTCCACCTTAATGCGACTACAATACCTAAATTTACGGTGACACTCGGAATGCCCCAATTCGCCTAGAACAATATCCCGATCCCCTTCCTCATTTAGAAGTTTATGAAAGTAGGTCTGTCATCTCCGCTTAATCTGGTCCTCCCCCATCAAAACACTACCATCCTCGTCTTTGATGCACCTCAGTTGGTCTAGATCCCGAGCCTTCCTCTCTCTCTCTCTCTCTCTTGCCTTAGCCAATCGGAATAAATTCTTCTCCCCGCCCTTGTCCCCCAGTTCCTCGTACAGATGAGCAAAAGCCACAGTCTTAGCCTCCGTGACCTCCAGCTTCGCCTCCTTCCTAGCTACCTTATACCTTTAATTGTTCGCTCTCCTCTCCTCCTCGCCGTTGCTCCCTACTAGCTTCAGGTACGCCACCTTCTTTGTTTCCACTTTACCTTGGACCACTTCATTCCACTACCAGCCGCCTTTGTGGCAACCAGAGTAGCCCGATGATATCCCTAACACCTCTCTCTTCGCCTTCCTAGTATAGTCTATCGTCGTCGACCATATAATGCTCGCGTCCAACTACTCCCCCAGACTCCCATGGCCGGTAACCTCCCTTCCAACTCCTGAGTTTTATCCTTAGACAAGGCGCCACACCTGATTCTAGAACGACCTTGTACAGACCTCTTCTTCCTCTTTATCATAATACCAATGTCCATCACCAAAATCCTATGCTACATCGCAAGGGTCTCACCTAGGATAACCTTGCAATCCTTGCACAACCCTCTATCACATCTCTTGAGAAGGAGATAGTCTATAAATACCCGCGGTCATTTTGAGTGTTGTAGCCCCGTTCTCTCATTTACTGCTTATTCTGTGCTCAATTGTTGTTATGTGACTTGCGGGGTTGGTTGGTTTGGTTCTTGGGATATTTTCGAATGAATTGAGACACTTGGTCCCAAGGTTGGAAGTCTAAGTTGAAAGAGTTGAATAGATATTAAATTATGTGTAAATGTCTCCAGAATGGAGTTCTGACGGTTCTGATAGCTCCGTAAGGTGATTTTAGACTTAGGAGTGTGTTCAGATACTGATTTGGAGGTCCGTAGGTGATTTTGGCTTGAATTGGCGAATGTTGGAAAATGGAAGTTTGGAGAGTTGAGAAGTTTAACCAAGAGTTAAATTTGTGGTTACCGGGCTCGGATTTTAGTTTCGGAAGTTGGAATAGGTACGTTGTGTCATTTATGAGTTATGTGGAAAATTTAAGGTCAATCGAAGTTGATTTGATAGGTTTCGGCATCGAATGTAGAAGCTAGAAGTTTATAAGTTGATTAGGCTTGAATTAGGGTTCGATTCGTGTTTTTGATATTGTTTGATGTGATTTGAGGCCTAGACTAAGTTCGAATCATATTTTGGGACTTGTTGGTATGTTCGGTTGAGGTCCCGGGGGCCTCGAGTGGATTTCGGATGGTTAATGGATTGGAATTGGACTTTGAAGATTGCTGAAGTTTGTTGATGTTATGTGTTCTTTGTTTCCTTCTATAAGATCGCGATGATAGGTCCGCCATCGAAAGGGGTCTTTGAGGGCTGTTGAATATTTCCTCTTCGTGTTCGTACAGTTAGGGACGCGATTGTGGAAGTTGAGAAGCTTGTGCTTCGCGAACACGTACAATGGACATCATTTGTGTACGAGGAAGTGAGGAAGCTAGGGTCACGCGAAGTTGTTCTTCGCGATCGCATGAAGATGGCCACGATCGCGTAGGTCTGTGAACCTGTGAATCGCGTTCGCGTGGAGTTATATGCATTCGAAGGCCATTTTGGGGGCATCTTTGTTTTTTTCTTCGCGATCGCGAAGAGTAATCACTAGGCAGCAGTGTTAAATACCAAAATCAAGATCATATTTGAGCTAGAGACCTCAGATTTGGGCAATTCTTAAAGGGATTTTCAAGGAGTTGATTGGGGTAAGTGATTCTAGCTCGGACTTGGTTAATATACATGAATATATCATTGATTTCATCATTTTCCCTTATCCTTGCTGGTTAGCAGAGCATGGTGGTCATGTTTGCTGAAATTTATCATTTTCCCGCGGAAATATTAGGGGAATAAAGGTTTATTAATAAGCTAGGGTTAGCTCCTCTCCCGTCTCCTGGCATAGACGCCGAAGACAAGCAACTGTCCTCCACACAGAAGGACTTATCTGTGCCAGTCACACCTAGTAACGGATCCAAAGCTCCACGATAACAGAGTCAAGCTCCCCGCTCAAGAAGAAAGGACCCAAAGTGAAGGGATATGCATAAAAATACGTAAAACCCTTAAGGATATCCGCTCCGCTAGGCCAGGAGAGATGATGTTCAGATCATGGCAACGACAATCTTCCTTCACAGCAGGAATGCTGGAAGGACGGATGGAAGAATGATACATGCCAACAGACCATGTGCAAGGGTTAGCGGAAGGATACTTCTCTTCGAAGTCCTTAGTTGTGATGAGTTTCCTTGGAATAATGGTGCTCACCGTGGGGAGAGCAACATCATCAACACTACTTTTGTTCTTTGAGGAACCGGGATTTCTGGAAGAAGAGGCCATTGTTATAAGAAGGGGTAGAAGGATTTTTTATGAAGAAGAAGATTAGAGAAAATTGAAGACAAGTACGAGTCAAGTAAAGAAACTTTGAGAGAGTCTGGAAAATTACAAAGTGTAAATGGAGAAGTTTTGATGCGTATAAGTAAAGGGATAGGCGGCTAAAATCGTGGCCATAATTACCTCAATAACCGATAAAAATGTTGCTGAATTGTCGGATGACGCGTGTTCGGGACATTAAATGCGAAGAGACATGCATCTAATCAACCGTCAAAAACTTTTCGGAGGAGGTCAGAGAATTTTTCGCCAATAAAGGTATCTTTACCAACTTCCCGGTGACACAAAGCTATGCCACCGGAAAGCAGGGGGCTATTTGTATAGAGTAAAATATGCTCATATTTAATGCTCGCATGATAAAGCGACACGTGGAGCCGAAGATAGAAGATAATCAGGGTCGAAGGCAGCAACCTCGTTTGTTACCGAAGTAAATGGTATACACAATGGTAAATTAAATGTCTGTCACCCGGTAACATTTAATAGAGAATATTCTACATCATTAAGGACATGGTCCGTTACATAGAATATGGCATTCACTGCCTACTGTTACTCATTCTTAATGACTCTCATAATTATCGTTAAAGAGGGGCTTGATCTTAAGACCTTGTTCCCTAGGTGCAACTATAAATAGTGAGCTCTACAGCCGTTATAGGGGACAAATTTTCCGAGAAGCATACATTATACTTTGTTAAAAGTTCAATAACATTTTACTTTCTTGCTTATTTACATTGTCATTACTGCCTCCGGAAGCTCCGCTCCCGAAATCAAGATTTCTACTATCTCATCTTGATTCAAGGCTAAGTCTTATATTCTTGTTCAATTTATTTATCACTTTAGGTCAAATTGACTGACTTATCTGTAAACCACACATATATTCAACTGTACTGTTTTACGGATAAAACAAGTACGTAATCAATATCTTCTTACTCATATAAATATAATGAAATTCATGAGTTGTTCCATCTTTAAATAAGAATATGTATGAGTTTAAAGAGTATTTTCTTATAATAAATATTTGTACCAATAAATTGAAAATAAAAGCTAGTAAAACATATATTTTTAACAAGTGTTCTTAATTCGAAATGGGGGATATAGATTATAAAAAGATAATATATCTATAAAAATCAATAAAATGGAATTTTAAAAACTACTCAGTAATCACACCATAATTATTAATAATTCTCACATCTCCGTACGTATTGGAGAGCGTAGTTGCTCCCATCAATTACATTCAAGTTCACGCTGATCAAATAATTTATTTGTCATACCAACGATTCTATATTGTGTAATTACACCCAATTATATTCAAATTTCATTACAAAATATCTTTCCAAATAGGCGCTAAATCTTTTTTTTTATTTTTATTGTTCCGATAAATCTAACAATTGGAGTTTGCTTATATTTGATGTGGACAAGAATATACTCGCATTTAACAAACTTAAGAAGATAAAAACGAATCAGGTGAATATTTAAAAAACTAGTTTGAACCTACCTCAAATATAAGAGATTATTTTTGTATTTGGAATTTAAGCAAATAACGCACTGAATTTATTGTTTACTTTTTCTACCCGATATATATTATTCATCGATTATTTTTAAATTAATTCATTGAGTAGACGATTATTTAGATCAATTCTAGATGCCAAATATATTCCTCGACTAAAAAAGAAAAGAAAACAAAACAAAGAAAACCTACGCAGGCAAACACGACCCGTTTAGATAAAACTTGATCCATCGGCAGAGGACCCGGAAGACTTTGCCCTAAGTTGTATCAGGTTCGCGGTAGTTGGGTTTGTTTGATTTCCTCAGTGTGCGTCACGGTCGTCTTGGGTTCTACAAACTACAAGCTAGCCAACAGCATTACGTGTCTGGCAGACTAAGGAGAAAGAGTGAGAGAGAAAGATGAGTCGAAGCTTAGGCATACCGGTGAAGCTTCTACATGAGGCGACGGGTCATATAGTGACTGTAGAGATGAAGAGCGGTGAGGTTTACAGAGGAAGTATGGTGGAGTGCGAGGACAACTGGAATTGCCAGCTCGAAAGCATCACTTACACTGCTAAAGTACGTCTTTCATACATACATAGTTCCTAATTCGTTTTGATCTTGTTTTAGTTTAACTTTTCGTTTATGCCTTTTTTATGTTTCTTATACTCTAAAACCCTAGTTTTTACAATCCCCCGTGATTAACAGTATGTTCTATGTAGTTTCTGATTAGATAAATTTAATTTTATAAGAATTAAAAAATGACACCAAATTCTCATGGAAAACTTAAATGTTTAGCACTATTTTTGGGTAGTTGAGTGCGAGGACTAATGGAATAGACAGCTCAAGAACAACAATTACCGTGCTAAAGTACGGTTTTTAACATACATTTTCCTGTTTCGTTGTCATTCACCGTCTTAGTTTAGCTTTCTTATCAAATGTTGTGTTTTACAACAACAATAACATCAACAACAAATCCGTAGAGTCTGGGGAGGATAGTGTGTACGCATACCTTACCCCTACCTCTAGAGAGGCTGTTTTCGGTAGACCCTTGGCTCAGAAAAAACATAGTCACTAGTCACAGTATAATTTAAAAGAAAAGACAGTGATGAAGAAGCCAAACAAAATGCTGTGTTAACTGTTGTTGAAATTAATATTCTAGATCTTTTAATGATTTATGTTGCTAATAATGTAAAATTTATTTTAAGAGAAGTAAATGAAGGGGATTGGAATTCACACAAAAGTTTAGATGCTTAACCCTGGTAGTCTTAATCATCATTCTTTTCAGGATAGTCGGAGTAGTTAAAACAATAAACTAATTGAGCACCGAAAGTGTGTGATTGGTCAGTGAAGTGGGTGCAAACTAGGGCTGGCTAAGGGAGGGGGCTGGGTTCTTAAGGGGACTAGGTACGGGGGCGGTACCGGTA